GGTGCCGGCTTTTCGGGGTGTCTGCTCGCGAAAGCGCTTTCGGAGGGAGGCCGGTGTTACCGCTGCCCTGGTGGAGGGTACGTCCTTCCCTCGGAACCGTAGCGTCGTTCAGTAACGCGGCTGAGGTTTGTTTGTGAGGGGTGGGGAAGAACGCGCCCCTTCGCTCTTGCTTTCTTCCTTATAGGCAACCAAAGAAGGCCAGAAGTAGGCCGAGCGGGGAGGCTTGATCTAGTTTAGGTTGTGAGGAGTTCCTGCTCCAGCTCGATCTCAGCCCTCTGCAAACACACTTCTTGTTTTGGCATCAAAGTCAGGAGGAGATTAAGCCATAAAGGAAGGGGAAAGCAGAAGTAGTGAAGGTCACTGGCTAGGGTATTGCTGTGTGTCCTAATAAAAAGTGTACAGTGTTCATACATATTTTCCAGTCTGCTCCCATACAGTGATGATATAATTTTTTTTGTCTACACAACTTGGTTCTTAAATTATATAAATTGTGTTTTTTTTTTCTTGGAGTCATAATTCATGTATTTTTAGAGGAGAAATATTTAGACAAATAATCAAACTGTATCACTTCTAAAGTATGAAGGTATAGATATCAATTTGATATATAGATATTCGGTTTGGCACGCTGAATTGTAACACCTCATCGTTAGTCCTGATCTGAAAGGAAGACGGCTTCTGTTTTTTGTAGGGCTACTTGGGAATTACAGAAGAGTAAGTAGTTTTTATTCAAGTAACTTCATGCAATTGATTAATTGAGAATGTTCAAGACTGGGAATTGTTTAGGATTGGTTTATTTCTCTTAAGAAGCACGAGTGGTTAAAGTTTAGCATGTATATGTTACTGGTTGTTGTTGTTTGTTTCAGGGAAGTCATATAAAAAAAAGTATTAAGTTTTCATTTTCAGTAAGTACTAATTACAATTTTAGGGAGGGCTGGGTCTGTTCTGGGATTTCCTGAACAGGGCGTTTAAAATCACTGTTTTTCTCTTTTTCTTGAAAATCTTGGGCAGGTACTCTGCCCGTTATTGATGGGTCTCAGATCTGACTTGTTGTGTTTCTAGGTGCATTTTAAATAACGATTAAAATGGATATCCGAGGTGCTGTCGATGCTGCTGTCCCAACAAACATCATTGCTGCCAAAGCTGCTGAAGTTAGGGCAAATAAAGTCAATTGGCAGTCATATCTTCAGTAAGTAAAAACTTTCCACAGATCATTGATATTAAGTAAGGTGTGGTGAGTGTTTGGGGGGGGGGGGTGACTTCTTTGTTGTTGTTGTCTTTTTTTTCTGCTTTTCTTTAAAGTGTTATAGACTTCCGTTGTGATGTCATGAAAGTAATTGGAAAAAAAGTCCATAATAAATGGAAATGGTTGGGGAAAATATCTTTATGATTTACTGTAAGAAAGGGAACCTTTCTATTGTAAACTGAGCACTGTGTAATAACCAGTAATATAAATTTGCACAAGTGTATGGTCAAACTGTCAATTTTTTTTTTACCTTATCATTCAAACACCTCTCAAAAAACATAGCTTTGTTGCACAAGTCCTGAAGGAAGTAAGCTCTACAGTAAGAGACATGTTATATGTTGGTACGTTCTCTCTGCCAGAGATATGCCTTTTGTGTGAATATGAATTGTACTACCAAAACTGAACTTTGACTAGTAAGCAGATTAAGGTATACCTCAGTTAAAAGAAGAATAGTGCTGAGTAGCAATTGAAGGAGATACTTCAGGGAGTAGGCTGAAGCAAAAACTTCAGTCTGGGGAGAAAAGTCCACATTTATTTTGGAAGGTATACAGTGGCCCTGGGAATAGGAGAGCAACGTAGTCCAAAGAGGATGTAGGGAAAAGTTGAGGAAATGGGTTTGTGAATGAGGTGGGAAGAGGGGGAAGAAAGAGACTTTTTCTAGTGCTCTCCCCTCTGTACTCTGAAGAGAAACTGCAAGATTTTAAGTCCCTGCATTCCTCCTGACAAATACCTATGAAGAATATTGGCAAAGTGTGAATGAGTGTCAGCTCTTGAGGGTCCATATATGACAGCAGGCTACTCCAGTTTCAGTTGCTTCATAACTGGAGGTGCAGATCATACTGATGATGCTTTGTGGTTACAAATGTTATGCTAGTTCACAAAAGATTTTTTTTAACATTCCTGTAGCGTGTATATATATATATTTATATATAATATATATGTGTGTGCATATTTTTTTTTTAACATGAAGGATGTGTGTTTAGGCCCCCCATATCAAAAAAGGATTTAGAAAACTGAACATATGCCAGCTGAGAAATGTTAACCCAATATATGTTAGTTAATGACTACCTACTTGTGCCACGTGCTTTGTAGCTCAGTCTTGCCTATTCCATTCATCCAATTGTATTGTTTATCTCCTTGTGATTGTATATCTGCATAATTAACTGGATAAAGGAGCTGATGTGCTGTGGAAAATTGCTTTTTCTAGGTTATTTTTCAGATGGATCGATTCCTGGATCAGTTTGCAGTGCAACTTTATGGTAGCTTTGCAGGCAAAAGAGCAAAGATGGTGTGCTAGCTTTGTAGTGATAACTATCAAGCGTTGTCAAACTGTCTAAATGGCTTTGCGGTTATTGTGTGCTGTGTTATCCGTCTGGTAGGAAGAACGTTCTGGAGGAGTCCGGGCTGCTCTTCCTGGAACATGGGCAATTAGAACAGCTCATTTGCAGTTGTTGAGGATGACAGTGGGAATACAGCTGTTCAGTGTCAACCTGTTCAACATGGTATAGTGCTTTTCACAGAGTCTCTGGTGGTTCAAACTATAGGACTAATAAGACTGAGCTTTTGTTAGTGCAGGGGATGGTTCTGTTTGGCAGTGAGTTGTATTTTTTTTATATATATATATATATGTGTGTGTGTGGTATTCATTGCTTGAGTTTGCTGTATGTGGACCACTATTTTTAAATTGGCTTTGTTGTTACCTCTGGTGATGGATAAGGACTGGAGGATCTTCTTATCTTGCGTATCTGTCAGCAGCTTTCAATGTAATATTTCTTGACCAGTAAGCAGGGTTGATGGTTCTCTTTCGGATCGTAGGCACAGATTATGACTTTTTTCCTCTGGAGCCTATGAAAAAAGAAAGGGTTAGTTATTTTCTCTTGGATAGGTGACCCAGGTTTGCCATCTTTGAGGGGGCTACTGGTGTAGTGCATCTTTCCAGTGTTTGTGAATTGGCTGTGAGATTGGTCAACGCCTGTTGCCCTCTGGACGTCAGTGACAGTTGATTCTGTTTGTTATTGCTCTGAAATAACTGTCATCTGTTTGTTGCTTATGTTTACTGATAAATGCTTGGCTGTTTGGCTAAGGCAGCTTCAAGGATGGAACAGAAGTGGTGTCAGAGGGACTGTTGACCGTTGTGAAGATAACCGAGGTTCTTTGGCAGTGGAGTTTGCTTCTGATTTATTAGACAAATATCAGGAGAATTTGGGTGCTTCTAAAGAGGAAACATAAAATTATACCTTTTCTTTTGAACACGTCTCTCTTACAACTACTAAGTGTAGATGCAAAGGCATCTGCCTCAAAGGTGCTATAAGGGAAGAGTTGAAAGAATCCACTAGTGCAGATGTAATCAGCTATATTGACTGGTATTTCTAGAATAAAGCACACTTAATGACTGGGGGCTGCTTGCTTTTGATGCACCTATTAGAGGCAGGTCAGAGTGGTTTATGCCATTGTATAGAGCAGAACAGTAGGAGGCTTGGGTGCTGAAAGAAGAAAAAGGAAACTTTTGTCAGAAAAAGACTTTTATGTCTGATTTTCTAAAGTTAACACATCAACTCAGGCATGACATAGCTCGTACAGCTTCCGTAAACTGTAGATAGTATTTATGTAGCCACAAAACTTCAAAAAAAAAAATTCTGATTAAGTGTGTATATATATATTTTTAATCTGTTTGTGACAGTAGCGTGTAATCTTTAAAGCATCTTTATATACATCAGTTGCAGTGGTGTTGGAATCTCCCTCAGATAGGAGGGACTTCTGCAGTTCCCTTCTGCTATCTTTGTTCCTCAGTGCAAAAGTCAAATGGCATGCTTATATTGGGTCAGACTCTAGTAGCATGATTTCTTTCTTAGAGTCAGTTCAAGCTAAGGATTAACTGGCCTATTGTTTATGCCCTCTCTGAAGGTTATAACTGTAAGCTAAATGCTAAACTGTGCTAATAACTCACAGCTGTTAACTTGTCATGTTAAAAACGTGAAATATTTAGGCATGACAGCTACGCATGTTACCTATGTTCGCTGCTGTGTTTATTGCTCGTATCAAACCTAGGCTGCAGTGGGTGGAGATTTTTAGCATTTTTGATGCTAAAAATTATGCTTGCTCTATGTTGAACTCCAGCTAGGGTTTTTCTCTGAGGGAGAAGAAACAAACCTTGAAACAATGGAAGGTGATGGAGGTATCTGAGCTATCTTTTGGAAGCTAAGTAAAGTTGTGGTCATTAATTCTTCTGTGCAGAAGAAGAAACTTTCCTATTTTTGTATCCTGGAACTCCCAGAGGTTTAGAGGTGTTGATTCCCTTTGCTAGTTGAAAATGTAATGTGTCATTGTTGTGTACTGTGAAGTTGCTTTCAGCATTTGCCTCGGGGTGTCAGAATGCCCTTGTAGGGTACACATCTCACGTGAAGTAAGTTTAGTTTGGTTTTATAAAGACCTTAAAGGTGGTAAATGACTTCTTTGAAGAAGTGAAGTCTTTATGATTTAACTTGCATCTTACTGCATCGTAGACTACTGCACTAGGTAAAAAGCACTTGACAATACTTCTTTTTTAATCAGATGATATGCATGGTGCCTAATTTGTACTTGGCTTCTAAAGCTTCACGTGCTTTGTATATGTGTTTGTGAACTCTGATTTTAAAATCTGTTTTAATTTCAGGGAGAGGGAAAAAAATATGAAGGATAAAAAAAAAAATGAAAAAAGCAGCCTCCTGAAGGAGTTTAAAAATTATCTGACTTTAAAAGCAAGTCTTCCCTTAGAAGAGGGGAAGAGGTTTCCTAACTTGCAGTGGGCAGCTTTTTTGTTGGTCAAATCTTGTAGAATGCATTCATCCTTTTTTAAATTTTGGGTTGTTAAAACTTCTAAGCAGTTGGATCAGCTGAATATCCTTTAGGTACATGTAAAGTATTGTAGATACCTAGAGGAAAAAAATCCTGCCTCGACATGACAATAGGCAGCTCTAAGAATGAGCTTCATGTTTGCTGCAGATGGATTCAAATGTAGGAAAGTCAGGAATGACTTTTGCTAAATCATTCAAACAAAAAAGGAACAACAGTTGCTGGAGGAAATGCATAATAAGCAAGAGAAATCACAAGTTTCTGAATCACATTGACTGACCAAGAGGATTTAAAAATGATCTTTTTACAAATTTGTGCTCTTTCTAGATTTTACACGGCTTTACTACTCTGTTGCTAGTGCCCTCAAAGTCAGAGCTTAGTATCTCAAGCACTGAGCTTTAATAACATGGTTACAAGTCTGAACTTGACTTATGTCCAGACAGTTGAAGGCCAGTCAAAATTACTATTGTCTGTAAGCAAAAGACCATGTAAACATGTCCTGGAAAATAAGAACCATGACACTGAACGCTTCTTAGGATGGGGGAAAGAGGGAAGCTTTAGTTACTTACATTTCTCCCTTAAAGATATTGGGAAATGCCTGCCTCTTTGAAGGGGTGAGGAAAGTGTGGTAATAGCATCAGGGTAGGTGGTGCCCTGCTGCTGTCTGAGCTCATGTTTTTTTGTGTTAGTTGCTAAGGATTACTACGTAATCAGTTATTTCTATGTTAAAATGGGGATGGGATGAGATGAATGGGAATTGATGCATTTGAACTTACTAAAACCATTAATCAGATGCATGATATCCCTGATAAAATACAAACAACTTGTTTACAAAGCTGTCAAATCCCTCATACAGTTTTGTGTGGATTAGAAAGTGTCTTTGCGAGTGGTTCTTATAAACCAACAAATAGTAAACCTTCTTATCTGTTCAGGGCAATGCCAGTCCCTCCCACTTCCCCCTCTGGCTCTAACGTTGGATAAAACAAGGAGCTTGAAACCTTTTTCCTTGAAAGTTGCCAGACCTCTTCTAATAGCGTGGCTATAGACAAGTGTCTCTGTTTCTGCGCTGAGGCTTTCTTAAGCATTGAAGTTACGAATTAAGGTTCACCTCAAGTTTTCTTTGAAATGCTTCCTAAATGGCAATTTTCTTATAAACAAACAGCTCATCTAGTTAGTGATTTTTTTTTTTTTTTTTAAATCAATGCCATCCAGGTCTTGGCCAGTATTGATTGAAACATATGAGAGACTTTCTAGTTATTGGTCGTGAAATCCAGTCCCCCTTCTATATGGCAAATAAATTGTGCTTTTCTTTCAATAACAAATCAAACTCCTTTTTAAAGAAAGGAGTTGTATTCTTTCCTTTCTCGTAAAAGATGTGTGGTAGCAGTATGGTCTCGTTCTTTGGCTGATTACTTTTTTCTCTGTAATTGATTCAGTTTTAGTAGAACTTGCTGTAAAAGACTACCAATGGCTTTATGAATCTTTCATCTACTAAGTCTTAATTGCCTTTCCTCAGGGTATATGAGGAAGTTTCTTGAAAAGCAGCAAGAATATAGGAATAGTTATAGGAGTAGTGCACACAGTACTGGATTTACTATTATCTTTTCCCTAAAAAATAGGTAAAAGATGCCGCTGTGATGAGGCTATCCTCAAGACCTAACCTTTTGAGGAAGAAAAAAAGATTAAAGTGTGATGCAAATCTTATTTATGTCTCTGTATTTCATGAACCCAGGTCAGGTGACTTAAAAAAAAAAAAAAAAAAAAAAAGAGCTACAATTTCCTGCGACTTTGCAAGGATTTTAGTGGACTCTTTAGTCATGGAACATCTGAAAACTGCCCCAGAACTTGGAAAAAATGGATTAAAAGAATCCATGCTAGATAGCTTTGAAAAGTGGAAGAGGCATCTGATTCAGTGGAAATGTAAGAGGAGATAAGTCTTGGAAACACTGAAACAGAGTACTGTGTAATACTTTTATCCTCTTTGTTTTTTTGTATTGATGATTTTATGCCCAATTTTCTCCTTTCCTGAAGCACAGCTGGTATTAAATAGCAATGCTGGTAACCTATTAAATTCTTGGATTTTGATGACTACTCTTTTAAATCAGTTTTCTTATTTGAATAGCATGTCTGTACTATATTGACTTGTTTGTTATTTGGTGTGGTGGTAAGTTTTACATTGTAACAAAAACAAGTCTGCTAAATCTTCAGTTTAGCCAACAGCTTTCAATAATAGCATTGATGATGTCTGTAAGTGCCTCAGTATTATTTGTTTTGGTTAAAAAAAATCAACTAGAGATCTGTTATCTTATAGCAGACTGCTATGGGTCACCTATCTCAAGCCTTTTTGCTATGTGTTTGGATAAGCTTGCACACTGATCAGCTTTTAAGCTACCAAGAAAAGCTTCAATGTGTTAACTTGTGCAAGCTGAAAATATGTTAGGAACCAGGTCCTTCGTACTCCTTAAAATTCTCTTTGGTCCTTATGATAGACTTAAAGTAACATTTCATTTTATTTTTAAGCACTTATTTCAGGTTGGATTAGACTATTAATGTTACGGATTATAAATCTGGCACAAATGTGCTAGCTGTATGTATTTCATTTCTTTCAGCTATTTCCACTGGCTGTTGCTTTCAGCATCTGGAAATCTAAGAATGATTTAGAGAATGCTGTTGAGCAATGCAGATGTATAGGAAAGGATTTGGAGGGATTGTTCTGTCATTAGCGTTTCACATTCTTCGTATGTGAGATTCCCAGCAGAGAGGAGCTCTTTATGTTCTACTGTGTAGTATAGAGTTGGTCAAGTGGTACTGCTGAGATATCAAACTGAAGAGAATAATGTCAAATAACTTACTGTCTGTGCATCTTGCTTATGGTTTCATAATTTGATTTTTCAGAGGGCAGATGATTTCTGGTGAAGACTGTGAATTTATTCAAAGATTTGAACAGAAAAGAAATCCAGAAGAAAAACAAGAGCTGTTGCAAGCAGAAGGCAATCAAGTAACTTTTCTTTTAATAATCTCTTTTAAGGGGAGGGGAACAGAGGGAAATTCATGCCAACTCTATTTCAGTGTTGGTAGGATACAGTTAGGCTATTACAGAAGAGCTATAAAACTTTATTATGATTCAAGTTTTGTTAGCTGTAGAGTGGCTATTATTTAAAAAAAAAAAAACCTATTAAATAATTATTAAATGTCACCCGAGTTTGAAGAAATCTGTTGTGGGACATGCTAGCTCAAGTCTCTCCCCATCCCAATTTACTTAATCATATGCATTCATACTTCAGTCACTTATTTTTGAGCTATCTGTTTCCTGTAGGTTTATTGATGAGAGTTACTGCCAGTGATATTTCCATTTAGCTAAATGAACAATTATAGTTTAATTCCATCAACATAGCCCACCGACTGCTAAGGTGGGTTCAGTTATCTTAACACAGGTCTAGTGTCATTATAGACACTAAGATAAGAGACATCTGCGCTGGACAGATACGATACAAGATTGGTGAAGGTGACCCCTGCTGTTTGGCATGTGGAGTCCAAGCAAGATGCTCAAAGTCACTTTAATGATACTTCAAGCAATAGAATCTCAACCTTGAAGCCTGAAGTTCTAGCAAACATCAGACATCAGTTGAGATTGGGAGAGGTATGGGAGTGGAGGGTAGGATATGTGCTCAAAAACCACAGAACTTTATTTTTCTTCCTTTCTACTTTAATTTGTAGGCTGTCCTTTTTTGCTTGTATTATGTGACTGGTATGTAATGGACCATGATTTGCATGCTACTATATAGTTACAGTCTAGCAGTTCAGAGTTCCATTTTTCTTTCAACTTTAATTGAATGTGGGCAAGGGGAAGGAGGAAGCGTGAAAAGCAGTGTTGTGACTGTTTCAGCTTATTATATCTGTGGCTGAAATTGTAGGATAGAGTTGTTCAGGAGGCAAAAAATGGTTTGAATGTGAACCAAAGCATCTACTAGATATAGGAGCTGATGTAGGTAAGTGCTCTTTCCCCCCTTCCCTCCCTCCTTTCTTTCCTCCTTCCCTCCCATCCATCTGAGTTGCTCGCACTTTTGCATGGCATGTCTAAGTTTGTTCCTGTTTTTTCAATTTAATTATTCTTATCCTCGCTGCTGTATAGAAGAGCACTGATGGAGATTTTCCTCATCGGCCTTTCAGTAAAGCACCTTGCAGAACCGTGCTGACTTCCACTAGGGAGTGTTTTGTTATCTCGGTTGAAAGCCAGAAAACAATAGTTTGTAAAGCTAATGATCAATATGACAGAAAAATTTCTTTGTAACATAATGCCAAATGTATTCATCTCTCATTGCGGTTGAATAAGACATTGGGATGCTTAATGCTTATGTAAGACTTAACTGTGAATTAATGAGAACCTGTTTTATATTATCAAAAAGGAGTGAAAACAATTGTTAATTTTAATGTCTCTCTTATTTTCTAGTGTGCTAAAACATTTATAAACTTGATGACTCATATCTCCAAGGAACAGACAGTTCAGTACATTCTGACTATGGTTGATGATATGCTGCAAGTAGGTCAATAACCTGTCTTATTTTAAGTCTTTAAATGAATGTTTGAATGTCTTTTTTAGTCTAAAGTCTCTTCAGATGTTTGTCATACTATAATGAAAGTATTCTTTTAGGCTTTCAGATCTTGCATTCAGAAGTTAAATGTCAGAACTAAAGTTACACAGATAACTTTGGTCTTGTTGTATGTGTTCATGCGCTGAGTCACATACCTGTATGTTAATCCATCTGCTCTCAACTTTGATGTGACAACTTGGATGCTGAAGGATCATTTGTGACCTTTTCCTTCTCTGTTGTGTAGATAGCACGTGATTTGTAACTTACTTGAAGTCGTTGCTGCTTCTCCTTACAAAAGTGTTAATTTGGCTTCCTTTATCAAGAAGATGCGGTTTCTATAGTTTGAACTTTCCAAAATAAGTTAAAATCTTGGGATAATATGTTCTGGAACACTATGTAGTTTAATTATAGAATGGGAACTCCTGGTCCAGTGAAATATATGCAAATACACTGCAATGGAATACTGCTATTTAAAATACAGACTTTATAGCTATCACAGAATCGTTTAGGTTGGATGGGACCTCTGGAGATCATCTAGTCCAACCTCCCTGTTCAAGCAGGGTCACCTAGAGCATATTGCCCAGCATCACATCCAGCTATGGGATACAATAACTTGGACTGATGTCAGGACTGCTGTGCTGACCTGGACAAGTCAAGAGCAAACTTTATTCAATCAGATAATCCTGCTTCTGCATTTTTTCACTTTATAGTAGTGTAAGAGAGAGTGATTGGAGTGATGACATAACGAGGCGGGCTGAGCTGTGTGAGGAATTCTCCCTATTGTTTGCCTAGAACGTTTGGCTCCTTGTTTGAGAGTCGGTTTCTCTTCTGCTGTTTCATGGTGTATCTGTTAATACAAGGTAACAGATAAATATGTCCAGCAATAACTTAGTGGTTTACGACATTCCCCTAAGAAACCAACCATCTGAGTTCTAATTCCAACTCTGAATGTTCAGTATTGTCAGCAGGCAAGCTGAAAAGCATGAATCTCTCCACAGTACGTATTGCATGGGTTTTATAGTGGTTTTCTTGGGGCACGGATTCAGTTGCTGGTCCCCGCATTCAAGTCACGTGTAAAGAGTGAGTGCCTTTACTGCTAGAATATTAGCTAGTGGCGGTGGTGATTCGTTGCCCAGCCTCAGTTTTGTCAGTCTGACCCTTTTCCTCTTTTCACTGGATTTTTTTTTTTTTCTCCTTGTTCCAGCAAGGAACAAGGCTTATGGGCTTGATCATGACTCTAAGAAAGATTTCTTTGGGTAGCTGGTGAAAGTGAAATTAGTGTGGTAATTGCCTTATGAGAGTATCACCATTCTGCTTGTTTGTGAAGATGGAGAATTTTTTGCTTGACTCCCTAAGGATACTACGTTTCATATTCTATTCATATGATACATACTTGTAACAATTTCTCCGGATTAGTGACCCCTGTCACACTGCGTAGTCTCTGATATTTATGAAAGCTTTAAGAGCCTACACAGTAGTTAGTGCAGCTAGCAGCACCGCTCAAGTGAGCTTCATTATGCTTCTTCAGAAATGACAGATGCTAAATTATTCAACTGTGGATATGAGTACCTTTTTAACAGTTTAGTCGGTAGTTGCCTAGAATGGAGCAGCATTACATATCCCTCCTGTCTTCACCTTCGCAGCAAACCGGGCTAATCTGATTGACAGTGTGATGAAGTTGTTTCATCTCTTCTGGTTTCAGGCTTGTCTGTCTCCCACTTAGCTGGGTTGTAAACTGAACTCATTGATCTAGTTATTTCTGATCTTTTTAGCCAGGCTTTGTGTAGCACAAATGTAGATGTTAACAGCAATTTGATCGAACTGTCATTTTTTGTCAAACTAACCCTCACAAAGCTGAGGCTCCAAGGCACTGTGTTCCTGAGACCTTATATTTTTATTTTATAGTTTGAAAAACAGAAATGTTGAGCTTTTTGATGTACTTTGTTAGATACCATGTTGAGTATTAAACATGCAAATCACTGGGAAGGTTATGACTGACAGATAGCTAGTGACACCTCATTCCCCCAGTCAGTGATCAGAACAGCACTTTGCAGTGCATGTGCTAGAGGTCACTTTTATGCTTCCAATGAAGGGTTACAATTCCAGCATTCAGTAAGATGCCAGTGTTTGGATCACAGGTGTATTCAGGTTGTCTTGTTCTTAACAGACTGTATTCCAACAAGCAGGCTTGCCCAGCTGATTCTTGGTCCATAACGTTAATAATAGGGTGTCAGATGGGGGGAGGAAAGCTCTTTGGTTAGAGAACATTGAAAAAGTAATAAAATGTGTTGCAGAGTTTGAAATACAGCTGCCATATTTTCAGTGTGTCCTAATTGCAGGGCTTCTCAGCTACAAAATGTTTTGTCTTCCCTGATATGAGTTGCATACTTGGCTGTAGTGGCTTGACCTCAAAGAGGAGACATCTTTTTAGACTAGACAAAGCATATGCCCTAGGCTAGGGGCGTATGCATTAGGCTAGGAAGTATGTGGAGTTGCCTCAGGCTGAGGAAAGGTAAGAATCCAAGCAATTCATTATTTATTCATTTGGGGGAGGAGAAGGTCCCTCTGCCAGGCTATTAGGAAACAGCAGAGCTCCTCTTTCTCGTTCAGGTGTGTGTGGCCTCTTTTTTGATCTCCTTTAAGGAGAGCTGTCATAGCTGCTTTGCACAGTGCATGTTAGATGAAAAGCTTGAAGCAACTCTGTGCAGTGCCCTTGTTCAGGGACTTGTGGTGTCTTGTAGTTTGGCCTAGAAGCTCTGGAGAACAGGCTTCTTGGGCCACTCCTAGTGGCTATATCCTCTCCTGAGGGCTCGGGTAGACTGAGGTGACAACTGAAGAGCTACAGGTTCATTTTGGGAAAGAAGAGCTCGCCTCCCATTGGGAAGAATGGAGAGGCATGACTAGCTTCCATTTCTGAAGTTTCACTGGTAGCTCACGCAACCAAGCTGAGCAAAGGGCTCTTGTGTGGACATAGCAGCATGTGAAAAAACTTATGTGGATTTTATTCAGGCGTAATTGGAAGAAAAGTATTGTTTCTCTCTGAAAATGGCAGTAGCTGGTCTCTCATTCTGACTGGCTAATCATATAATGTGGTATATACACATTTTTACTCAAGCAGCTATTGGAGAACTGAGATATAACTAGGGTTTTGGAGTTTGAGTTTCCCCCACCCACCCCCCTACTCCCTCATCTCCAATCTTAATGTTAAGAGTACTGAAATGGATTATATCCACAAGTAACTGTCAAACTGTGAAAAATTTCCATCGACTACTACAGTTGAGGATACGCTCTGACAATAAATGCCAATGTAATGGGGGGGCTAATAACTGTCTTACATCGAATGCTTTTGCAAGTCTCTTCTTTTCCCTCTCCCTTTTTTGTAGGAAAATCATCAACGTGTTTGTATTTTCTTTGATTATGCAAAGCGTGGTAAGAATACTGCATGGTCCTACTTTCTGCCAATGCTGAATCGCCAAGATCTTTTCACTGTGCATATGGTAAGCTTTAACCTGTGTCTGAAGATGGTAGAGAAGAATGATGTTTTTATTTTTCTTTAGAAAATTTTTAGAGTCTGAAATTAAACTACTGCCTTGGCTGAGAAGTTTTCTTCTTACAGTCTAGATGAGTCATTCTTAATGTAAGTTTTGCCTGACCACTTCTTAAAAAGAGATACATTGTTTATTTATATCCTTCTTTCTGCGAAACTACAGCAGATTTTAAGGGCTCAAAAAAGCAAGGATTTCAGAGTTAATTAGGCACAGTTATTAGAAAAATAATTTTTATTACAATTGTCAGCCAGCATTCATCAGGTTGTACAAATATTGGAATTTAAGTCCTCTCCAAATGAAAGGAGGGTGTCTTTATCTTGCTGATCTTATTCTCTCATATACTCAAATTATTGTTACTTGTAGCGTGCTGTAAATGGTTTGTAAACATTGGGAAAGAAATAATGTCTACTGTGCATTATATGGTATTTGCTGTGCTTTGGGCTGCTGGCTGCTGCTGCTGGTGTACGTGTAATAACTTCAAAGCAGGTCTAATGGCAAAATTGTTTTCTGGGATTCTTAGTATTCTTCTGTCCTCTGTGCTGAGAACTGGCCATTTCATCCCAGCTGTTTACTTTTTCCCTTGTGGGAGTAAATACAGTTGTACTACTGTAAATTCCTACTGCAGACAGTAGCTTGTACCATTATTATGAACTCAACAGGGCAAAAACTGCATGGCTACAAATTGCTCCTCACTGCTGTTGACAGCATGTGTTTCGGCTGGTATGGTATGGTAAAACCAAATCAGTGGCTTAAACTACAAAACCACGTACCGGGTCTGCCCTACGCTCTGGTGGGCAGTACTGGTGCAAGGAATTCCAGCCAAGGCGAGCTGTTACCCTTTAGTTATGGCCAGTGCTACTGCGTTTGTGACTGTGCTGTGATTTGAACAGCGAGCTAGCCTATTTTCAGGGAAAGTGTCTGACAGGCTTAATTATTTTTTAACCTGACTGGTTCGCTGCCTGGCTCTGCAAGCAGGTAACTTGCTGCAGCTGAAGGAAGAGGCTGTTATTTTTTTGTTTTGGGTTTTTTTTTTTTTTTTTTTGCTACTCTTGGTGCTGAAGACCCGTGCTGCACAGCCACAGTCTCTGAGTACTCAGACAGTATTGACTTCCTAAGTGTGCAGATAAAATGTACTTTTCAGACCCTTGCAATGCAAGCCAATTCGTCACCGTGGAGTGGTGGTTTGCAAGTATACGGGTAGAAGATACCATGTCCAGTATTTTACTGTCTATAGAGGTGTTATTCAGGCATTGTTATGTTTTGCTGCCTTAAAAATACACAAATACATTTCCAAATCAGAGAAGCTCATGCAGTGTGAATCCCCGTTGAAACAGTCACCTTGCTCCTTGATCTCTTTGCTTACCTACCTGGGTGTGTTGGTGTGTTGCTTTGTTTCCTTCTTCTCTCCCTCCCAGTGCCCAGTGTACTCACTGAAAGACCGTTGATGCCACATCAGTGTGTCTGCATAGGTAGATCAAAATATTTGTGCTCTGGGTCCAGGCCTAAACTCTGCTAGGTATGAACGATCTCTGGTTCAGGGGCTGGGGAGCAGTTTTAACTGAGGAGCATGCTAAGCTAGAGTTCTGTTAATTCATGTTTTAAGAGCTAAAGAGATGTTACAGGATGACTTAGCCACAATGGATTGTGTGTGTCAAGTCCGTTTCTGAATACAGAGGTCGTCGTACCAAACTCTCTCTCATACTCCCTTCAGAAATCTGATGGTGCTGCGCTTCTGAATACTATAAAGCGGGAAGGTGCCTAGAATAGTCTCACCACTGCATCATGGAGCTACGTGCAGGCAAATTAACCTCTGTCTCAGTAGTTCCTTGGTTAGACTGCTTTTAAAGCTGGCTCAAATATTTCTGCAAGAATACTGCAGGCCACAGTACAGAGTCACTTTAATTTGAAAAAGCTGGCCTAAAATATACTCTTCTGGTTTGCATGTGTTCTTGTCATAGGCATCATGAAAACTCTTATCTGACTGCGTTTTTACTTTTTAACTTCATTCTTAAATCCTACCTCCTTTATTGGTTTTCTGCGCTTCTTTTCTGGACTTGAACCTGCTTCAGTTTAAAAGCGTAAAACTTTAATGTTTTCTGATCGTTTGCATTGGCATATACCTTAATTGCTTAAAGTAAGCATGCTGATGCATGCATTAGACTAAATGTCTTATTGTTGATGGATTTTTGACTCTGTGTCCTACAGCAGTAGCCCATTGATAGAAGCTCCCCCTTCCTTCTCCTCAGTTCTTCTTTGGTGCCTTTTGAACTTCATCAGATACAGCTATCTGATAACCTTGTGAAAATACACCAGCTACTGGGGAGTAGAAGCAACAGAGAAAGCTGAAGGACCCAAATTACTAGGTGTGAAGACCCTTTGACATGGGGAAGAGATGATTTTTGTACACCTTTTATCTAAACTTGGTTTCCGAAGCATACAGGTCATTGCTCAGATACTAAATCTGGAAGTAGCTGTTGCGTTTGAAAAATCTGTATATTATGTTCTCTTCTAGGCAGCAAGAATTATTGCCAAATTGGCTGCCTGGGGGAGAGAACTTATGGAAGGAAGTGACTTGAATTACTACTTCAACTGGATTAAAACACAGCTCAGTTCCCAGGTAAAAAGCTACTTCTCTTTAAATATTATGATGACTTTGGAAACTTTTTTAAAGAATATAATACACATATAGATGTGCATACAGAAATTCATTTGTTTTTTTTTACGTGAAATCTCATTAATATTTTTAAAGCTGAATCTTTTTTCTTCCAGCACATGCTTTCAAATTTCAGACTTAATTTTACCTCCACTCCTTGGAACTTAAAGTAATTTAAAAAAAAAAATTATTTTTCTTTTTATTAATATTCATTCTCTTGGAAAATGAGAGAACATATGATGAGGGGTTTTTGTCTCCTAGTGTTGTTTTGCTTTTCAGAGCTTTTTACAACAGAGAAAAATCAAATGGCAGCAGGAAGTGAATAAAGAAGCTTTTTCTTCTAGTTTACTGTAGTACAAAGCTGGTTTTTAGCAGTCATGTCACTTGAAACTGAATAAATCCTGATTTGTTTAAACAGTGTTTGTGCGGCATTAGCTCAGTATGACCTGCTTGCTGCTGGCTTGTCCTTCAAAGACAAATCTTTCTCCTTTTGTGTTTGTTTTTTTTTTTTTTTCCCCTCCACTCCTGTAAAACTTGTCTAAAGCCAGTGATTTGTCATTCTCTAAGATAGTACTGGAGCAGAAGTGGATTCTGGAAAGCAGAGAAATACAGTTTGGTAGGTTTAGTACCAGCGTATTTTTTTCATTGATTTCCAGACTATGGGCTTATTAGAAGGAAGTTTTACTTTGCCTCTGTAAGCAAGGATCTTAAAGTTGGAATTTCTTTCGGAAAGATTCAAGAGAATGGTTTTCAAATTTTAAAATGAATAAAAGTCTTGAGTAAATCTGCAGGATGGGGGGGAAAGTAATCTTAGTAAACTGTCTCAGGATTATCTCCAAGCATATTCTTCTAGACATGATAGTGTGGGATTGGAAAATAAATATCATATCATAATAGACTGAGCAAACCAGTATCTAATAGACTTTTTTTTTAATCTTCTGTTTTTTGTGTTCGGAGGGATGGGGGCAACCGGAAGAGACTTGGTAACAGTTTTTCTATAAAGGTAAGAGACAGCCGTGATGTTAAAATTTTATTTTTGTGCTAGAAACTACGTGGTACGGCGGGTTCTGTGGAAGCAGGAGCAGTCTCCACGAGTGATGTGAGTATTTCTTTGAAATATGTCAAATTTTCTTTTTTGGAGGGACGATATCCACTGTTGAGATAAGGGGCAGAGCTGTTTTGCTAGAAAATAACTTGGAATCAGACCTGTACTACAAAAGATTGCCAGGTGATGGCACCAAGAAACAAAAGTATTTTTAACAGACTAGTTTGACAGAAAATGTTGGCAATGGAAGTACATATTTTACGAGTTATATTGGGTTGTTAAAGCTGTGACTGTATTAAGCATCCTCTTTGTCACAACTTGGAGAAATGATGGGCAATTACATTTTTGAACAATGCTATCTCTTTCGGACTGGACTGTCTGACTTATGAGTAAAAGAAGCTCGAGAGTGAGAAGTTTCTGGCTCCTGAAATTTAGAACTTGCAGCGGCACGTCAAACTAACGTTTGTTAACAAGCTAACATTGCCTCTGTAAAGTGGAGTACTTTTAAAGCTATAAGCTGTTCATATCCAGTATTTATTTGTGCTGACTTTCACATAGCTATATGATTGTTCATCCTGGAGGTGAACTGTATGTGGCAGTGATTGTCGTAACTGACTTTTCTATTTTTTGGTGTCACGATGAAGCAGTTCGTTAAGGCTTTCGAACGTGGAGTATAATTCAGCAGTTTGGTCTTTTGGTCTGTTCACAACCTGAATGTTAGAGTGAAAGTGTCCATAGTTTTTTCAACAGACTGGAATTTGGAATTTATTTCTTTTCTAAATGAAGTAATTACTTTAAATAATTAGCTTCCTGTAAGGAAAAGCCTCTTAAAATACTAATTCAAATCTTGGTGAGATGGTAAAGCAGAAAGGCTTTGAGTATTACTCATGACCATGTAGGGGATTAAATTATGGCCTGAGCATGGAATTTGAAGTACTATATGTGTAGTTTTGTGTCCCGTTACTGTAAGGTTTTGTTACACTGATAGTGCTATGTCATATGGCCCCAAAACAGTAAATACTTCTACAACATGCTCTCCCACTCATTATGGAGTCGTCTGTATTCAATGTACTGTAGCAAGATGTGGATGTACTGCTGTGGAGTCCCAAAGCAGCAAAAGTGATAGTGCAAATTATATTCTATGATTACTAGGCTGTGTATGGTTTTGAATTGACTTGGTTATAGTGTTTCTGATTTCAGATCTAGCTTGCGCAGAATTTTCAAGGAGGTGCTAACTAAAGTATTCCAGAATAAATTAGGGATGCAGTTGTAACATTTTACCTAGAAAATGATGGCTGGGCTTTACTATAAAATTTAAACTTAAGATAGTATTGAAAGAGAAAGCTTTAATGATGATCTGTGTAAAGATAAAATAACTCTTAGTTCAGGAATGCACAGTTTGATGCAGATAAAATACATTATTCTGGTGGGAGGGAGGTGTCTGTGTGTGCATAGTTGTTTCAAGAATTACATTTTTTTTCTGTATGTTTTTATTTGCATGGGGTATGAAAGCAAATTCCTACTCGGTGGAATAAATATCCTTTGTAATCAATGACTGTAGATGTTTAGACTCAGCTTTTACGTAAAGGTCTTAGAATAAAGATAAATTCATTTTGTGACTCTTATGAAGCAGTTTAAGTTCTGTTTATTGTCTCTTATCTTTTCCTTTCGTATTGATTATCTGATTTCTTTCTTCCATTGAATATTTGACAGGTTTGACCTTCTATTGTGTGATCTACCATGAGACTTTAAAGCCACTTAGTAAAGAGGAAAGCTTATAGGAAAAAATACGTTATCTGCTGCATTTGAGTTTTAGTCAAGATATGCCAGAGTTTGAGCAAGAGGAGAGAACAAAATGCCACTTCCTTCATTCCTTGAGATATTTGTGCTGCTGTAGTGGAAAGCACAATAGCCTAATTAAAAAAAAATTTTTTTTTGAACTGCAGCCAATCATATGTTCTATTGCACAAGAAATACACACTTCTGGAGATGAAAAGCTGTTTAATTATTCTGTCTCAGTGACTGTTCATATAGGAGCTTGAATGAAAATAGAATTCAATAATGCACATCTCAGCATTTCAGCATTTTCTTGAAGGGAAAGTTTTTATCTTGTTCTTCTCGTAGCACAGTATAATGTGCAAAGCTTTTCATTAGAAAGAAAAGAAAATTCAAATGCAAAGCTAAACTTTGAAGATGATTGTGCATGCTCATCTCTAATGGTATTTTTATATATAAATATACATCTCATTCGTTATGATAACGATGTTACTTACTATGTGGTGCACGCATACGGAAATTTGCAATTATAATGGGACCACTGCTGCCCTGAGTAGGGGGATGAGGATGGGAAGAACTTTAACTGAAGATCTCTTTTTGCTACAAAGGCCTGTAGCAGACTTAAGTCTGGTAAACAGTTATGTTATAGCTGCTTTATTTTCCAGAGTTCACTTGACAGTGTAGTAACTGATGATCTTGATGAAATGGCTCTGGCAGTGTAATCAAACAGAAGATAGCCTTAAGACAAGCTGAGAGAAGCCATATTCAAATTGGCTATAAAAGTCTGTTGTGGTAAAGGTAAAATGGTATCACTCCCGTAACATTTCTTTCCTAGTCAAAACTGTTCTCTGCTTATATTTTCCTTTCTACCTTTTCTTCTCTTGTCAGATTATTGTTATTTATTTTTTAAATAGAGGGACGTAAGGTGTCATAAGGGTGACGTTGCTTAAATTAGAAGTGTTGCTGAAAAAACACGTAGCAAAGTATGCTAGCAGAGCCTGTGTTGGAAAGCTGAGCCTCAGTGTTTAGTACCTAACTCTTCTAATAAGTGATGTATTCTTGTTTTCACTTAGAGTTCCCAGTACGTACAGTGTGTTGCTGGATGTCTGCAGCTGATGCTCAGGGTCAATGAATATCGCTTTGCGTGGGTAGAAGCAGATGGGGTAAACTGGTGAGCAGTTATTTCAGTTTATGTGGCTATACTTGCACTTATGATAGCATGTTCCCAATGACCCCTTTTGTAATAGAAGTCTCTTGCAAAGACTGCTGCTCTGTTTGAGTACAAAACCTGTTTGTTTTCAAACATTAATGCATTCATATGAACAGATCAAACTTGCAGATATAGGTACTGATTTTGAGGTCGTAAAGCTACTTTGTCTCTTTGTGAAGGACTGCTTATACAGATATCTGAAGGGGAATAGACCCATTCATCTTCAGCTAAAGATGCTCCGACATTATTGTTTACTTGAACGGGAACTAAAGAAATGAGTTTCTGCTGTATTTTCAGTATCTTTCAGTTTAGAGTCTTTTAGTCTCAAAGTATTAGTGAAAGGAAAAAACAAGAAACATATGTTCTGAAGCTATGCCTCCTCCCTCCGCATATGGCTTTAAGTAGATAGTTGTTTTAGCCAGATTCTCCTCATGAATAGCTTTAAATGAGGCTAAGGTGTTGTCACTCATCTCCTTTAAGAATGTTCATGTATAAATAACTCTTCTACCGAGGGTCTCTTTATTGGGGGTGGTGGCTGTACGGTTTGCAATCTAAGAAAAGAATAGCTTTCTACTCCAAATTGGAGAAAAGTCAAAGTTACCAGTGCAGTGAAAATTTGAAAGACTTTCACGTGTATCATGGTGATGCTATTGAAATGAAGTTTTTCACCAAGGTGTTGGTAATGGTTGAAATGTTACGATAGCCTTCATTTCAACAAATGTGAATTTTGTCACCCTAATTGTAATAGCAGTAATCCTGCAAGCTGCTTTTATTTTATTTTTTCAGTTGACTTAGCTTTTTTAGGAAAGAACTTGTAAATTGCATATTAAAATTTCAAAACAGAAACTTCACTCAGCTGAAGTACAATTTTCTTTCCTCTCTTCTTTTCTTGATCTTGGGATCTTGTTTCTTGTCTAGTGGTGCTGTATTTATATCTACCAGTGTTGTGACTTGATGTTATGTATAAGCTATTCTCTGAAAACTGACTTGTTTAAATAGCCACTACCTGAGCTCATTTCAAACACTCCTATGGAGAGATACACTTAGGAAATGTGTTATTTCTGTATGTGTAGATCGTTCTGCTTGTTTGCTCCTCCTCTTTCCTGACTCTGAAAAAGTTGCTATGTTTCTCCTGGAATGACAAATAATGCTCTAAACGTGCCACTAGAAAAAAATCTCAGTGAATCTGAAGGTGGGTACAGCACTACATCAATTCACATTGGAAAAAGCTTTATGGCTATAAGGCTGAGAAATAAATTAAAAACTATATTTTAAAAGATGGCTTCCTAAACAAGGTGCTTGGACAATGATAAATACTGGTGCAGGGTATTGCGAAGTATGTGTTGTGCACTCATCCCTGCAGCTCTTCCCAGTAAGTTCCTGTTAAACTTTTTTTGGGGGGTAATAAAATGTTTCAAGGTAGAATAATATAATGCATGCTGTTATTTAAAAATCAAATATATATCATGTTAACTTTTCAGTATCATGGGGGTCTTGAGCAACAAATGTGGCTTCCAGCTGCAGTACCAGATGATTTTCTGTGTGTGGCTGCTGGCATTTAGCCCTCAAATGTGCGAATATCTCCGTCGATATAATATTGTTCCGGTGCTGTCAGATATTCTTCAGGAATCGGTCAAGGAGAAAGTGACTAGAATCATCCTTGCAGCATTTCGGGTAAGTGTCTGATAACTGCAGTTGCAAGGTGCTCGTCTAGTTTGAGATATTGCTGAAGCACAGCTGTTTCTGTCACACCTTATCAGGTATCCTGGTCTGAAAACTTAATTCTCCCTTTTTCTGAGAGATGAGTTTTATTACAGATAATACGTATGCTATTACAAGTAATAGACATGCGGCTTTCAATACCTTCTTAAAATAGTCATGACTAATACTATATTGAACACTGGCGTTAGTAGTTTCTCATCTTTAGTTCAAGATTCTTTTTTCCACTAGTAGCAGTGTTAAAACACTGGAGTTAATGACACTTGAAAAATTCTACCTTAGGAAGTTTTAGTTAGAGAGTACCGTTTTGAAGAGGGATGTTTGCCCAACTTTTTGGCTGACTTGGAAATTATCTTTCATCTGCTAGTCCAAAAATCTTTCCTTGGTGGCTCTGTCAAGATGAACAAGGATATCCATGTAAGAGTGACTGGCTGACTTGCTATGTTCATGTTATCTGAAAATGGCCGATCCTACGTAGGGTGATTTGGAATAACTAAGCCCTGAGGCTTGATGCTTTCATTGTGAGGGTGCAAGTTTGGATTCATGTGTGCTAATCAGACCCATGCACATAGTTTATGTGCATGCATGTCAAGTGTCCTATATGTGATACAGGAATGCTCTAACAACTTTTAGTCCTGTTTTAAAAGTTAGACCTGTTGGAGGATGAGGTAAATTCACAGGAGAAACAATCCTCACTGTAAGTTTAAAGATGGAACATGTATGTCCTAGGCTCTGTCTGCTGCCAGTGAAGAGAAGCATATTCAGAGAGTGATTTAGTGAACCCGTCTTCCCTAAACAGTCTAGAACAGTAAACCTAACTGTGGTTAGGGACTCAAATGGTCTGTGTTCAGTTGAGGGGCTGACTGACTTTCTGCTATTGACCTTCTGCAGATAAAGAATCAAAATGATAGATTTTTGCTGGTTAAAACAAAATTCAGTATGTATTTGGAGTACTTGTTTGAAGAGTAAAATGTATATTAAATTTTGAGATTCTACACTTCATTATTGAAAAGAACGTGTGCGTGTGTATATATATATATATATGCTGATGCTCTGACTTATGTTTTTTAAAAGTTGAGTTTTTAAAAGCTCAAAGAGCAAAGCATGAGGAAAGGGATAGTGTTGTTGAGGATCTTAATGTTAGTGTTAAATGAGGAAATGGAACAAGAGAGCTTTGAAAAAAGTGACAGATTTCAATATCTGATATTGAATATTTTCCAATCCTGAGGTCACAAAAACGAGGAGAAATAATTGCTAGTTCTTAAGAGTTACTGTGTTTTGCAGAAGGAGACAAAAACAAGCTGGATTCTTTTACTAAAGAAAGGCTGAGGAAGAACAAGGTTGTTTTGATACAGGTTTTGCGGAAAGAAAACTAAGAAGCTAAGTTAGACTAGTGTTGGCACAGGAATGAAGTTATAAACTGACTGCCAAGAAGTACAGATTGGAAATTAGACATTGAAACTCTCAGTTCTGGAGCAAATTTAAAATAGGTAGTAGAGACAAAATAGACCATTCCCTGTGTAAGAGCCTGCGGTATCAATTTATGGAGAAAATTAGGTGAGTGGCATAAATGGCTAGGCTTGATGATTGCCAGATCCTCCCTGTGGCCCGTGCATCACAGAAGGAATGTCATGAGTTTTGACACTGCCCTGCATCTGCCCTACTATCTCATTCACCTCAAATTTGATGTGTTTCACTTCTTTGGTAAGTTAATTGTACCAAGAATGTAATTGTGATGCACTCCTCCTCCCTACCCCCATGAAGCAAAAGGCATGGAATACTCCTGTCTACTTTGAATCAATTACTTGCTCTGTACCTCTTAGAATGTATTTTTTCCTCATCTTTTTCATGTATTTGTAGTACTTCTCATTTTTGTCTTCTGTGTCCCTTTCCTCACTGCTCGTTTTGTACCTTAATACCTGTTATCACTAAATAGTTTACTGATCTGTTCTATTTGATTATGTGTTCCTGTTTGTATCCTCCTAATATACCCTTTCTGTTTCAGTATTAAAAAGTGAATACCTCATTTCAGTATGAGATATTTAATAATATTGGGAGTAACTTCTGCTTTTGCCTCTAACTCTCTTAAATAGGCGTTCTTTAGAAACTTTAGGTGCGTGCTCTTTGAAATTGCTGAATCATGTCTTTTAGGATCCATTATTTGTTCTTTTACTCTCATTAGCACTTACAACTCTAAGTAGATAATTTAGCGTTACTTTCTCTAAATTACCTTTCACTTCTCAGGTCTCTTACTTAGTGCATAGAAATGTATATTTTTTTTCTACGCCGTAAAACTAAACGGGCTGTATGTGGCCATTAAAAGCAGTAATAGAACTTATTTTCCTTACACAAGTTTTAACATTTATTTGCAGTATGTTACCTTACTAAGTAACATATGTCTGATATCTTAGAAACCTTAAGTATAAAGCTTGTGTCATGAACAAGAGCAGTGCAGTCAAATTCCTTTTGTATAATTGCCTCACTTTTTTTCTGGTAGATGTTAAGGCTTATTCATATGAGCACAATTTCTCTTTAAGGACTTCCTCTTTTAATATGAATTGCATGTTTTGAGCTTTATCAAAAAGTGCAGGTGGCTAGCTCTGATTGAACAACGTAATTTGAAGCTGATTACATTGAGTAAAAATGTAATGAATAAATGATATTATAACTTTACTATTGCATTCTGTGCTTGTAATACCAGTCTTACCAGCAAGCTTGTGTTTGAATAAAAGTTGGAATGCTCCCAAATTCAGAAGAAGTTGATCTAATTCAGATGTAAACTCTTGAGCTGCAAAGTTTTTTGAGCTGCAAAGTTTTTTTTTTTTTTTTTTTTTTTAAAAGCTTTCCTACTTTATGCTGGGGCTACACAGAAAATTAAAATGATAAACCTAGCTAGAAGTATTTGTTTATAGCAGAGACTCTACAACTTGGGGTATCAGCCTCCCTTTTTTTTTGAGTAGTGTTTCTGCTTTATTTATCATGGAAGATGATCAAAGCAGGTGTATTAATGCTTTCTAATTTTTAAGGTAGCATAACACACCGCTCCCTTCTATTCAGGAGGAAAAAGATCTAAATCAGTTGCTTGAATGCAGTGAGATTTGTGCTTTTTAGCATATGTGATTGTATGACTTCTACTTTGCTAATCAGAGCCATAATTTTTTTTTTGATTCCTCTTTATTCATGATGCCCACATCTGCTTTAGTGCCACATGTGAATACTCCTCATGTACAGTAACGTGAGCACCAGGTAGTTTACACCACTGAAGTAGGTGTAAAGCAATCACTGTGTGGTAGCCTCATATTGAACTTCTCTTTGGAGAGATTGTTTCACGAAGTGCTCAGTCCTGCCTAATAGTCGCTTCTGAAATTAAAAACTGCCAACAAGGACTTCTCAAACACTAGCCTTTTCATTTCAGAACAGTCTTCTAAATAGTTCTTCTAAAAAAGAAAAAAATTTTTTTCTAGAATCTCTTAGAGAAATCTACAGAGAGAGAAACTCGCCAGGAGTATGCTCTTGCCATGATTCAATGTAAAGTTTTAAAGCAGCTAGAGAATTTGGATCAGCAGAAATACGATGACGAAGACATAAGTGAAGATATCAAATTCCTACTGGAGAAGCTTGGGGAGAGCGTACAGGACCTTAGGTATGTTTTGTAGCGTGAACTTTTGAAAAATGTGATTATACAAACATTGGTAAAAAAATTTTTAATATAAAAATTATTAAACACTATATGCTGTTATAATGTATAATACTGTGCATAAGTATTATATATATGTGGCTACAATACATAATATTGTAGCTATATAATATATGGAATTATGATGCTCTAAGAGATGACTGATAAGACAGCATACTAGAGATGTCAGTTGCGTATGAAAGATACCGTTACAACTTAGTATTTACAGACTGAAGTGGAAAATCTTCATTACTGAATGTGTGTTCTTCATAACTGGTAAACCATTAGGAAAGAACTTCAAGGGGAGTTGGTAGGAAATAAATGTGCTTCTAGTCTAAGCTAAAGACTACCTAATTAGCATACTCTTTTTGCTGTCCAGGTTAATTCAAGTTATACTTCTCCTTTTTTCCATTGCATAAATGGAACTGCACTGCACAGTTTGCGTCAAAGGCTTAATTTTACGAAAGTCAAGGACCGGGATCCTTTGTTGGAGAAGCTAAAACCTGGAAAGCATGCAAAACAACTGATAAATTTCCAAAAGTTTAAGGCTGATTTTTAACTTCAGGAATCCTGTTTGAGAAGGATGAGGGCTAAACACGTTTTTCTCTTCCCTTGCGTTCACTTCAGTATTTTTAAACAGTAATGGACTTTTAATGGGCAGGAACAGTTCTTGTGCTTTGTAGAGAGCTGACTTCCAAATGTGTCATAACAAACTGTGCTCCAGTTCTGTCTTGCTAGGGACAGATTTGGGTGTGCTGTTCAAACTCCATTCATGGAAGCTGAGCCCATATTTCATTCCGAGTCTTTTGTATTGCAGCTCATTTGATGAGTACAGTTCTGAGCTCAAGTCAGGAAGATTGGAGTGGAGTCCTGTGCACAAGTCTGAGAAGTTTTGGCGTGAGAATGCTGTAAGATTAAATGAGAAGAATTATGAGCTACTCAAGTAAGACCTCAGCTCTTGATTCATGTTATTCTTTAATATTTTCAGCATTTAACTGAACCTGTGTGTAATACCTAGTTTATGTCAACAGGGAGTGATACCTAAAGTGAAAACAAGTTAGAATGTGTGGTCCTCACCCAGTACTGATCTTGGTCAGAAGAATTGGTTGTTTGCTTTAACTGCTCAAAATATTTTGTTGACAATGGAAGGAATATCTCTAGCTTAACTTACTTTCAGACTTGTACAGATGCTTTTAATGCTTTCATTTGAAAAAGTTATAGTAATTGATGCAACCAAAAACTGATTTTGCCATATCTTAGCCTTAATTTTGTGTTGTTTGTTTGTCATTGATCTGAGTAAAGAACTCCTTCAAATACTTGGGGTTTGAAAGTTGTGCTACTATTATTTGGAAAATCTGATTTAGTGCATTACATTCTGGGTTGTCTGTTTTCTCTTTGGACTGTGTTTGGTGCAAGTAGGTTGTCACATGAAATGAAGCCAAAGCTCATCTTTGCTGTTGGAGTCATTGACTTGCTTGCTGGTTTCTGAAAGCATGCACTCAAAGACGTCTGGCTTTTAAACAGCAGTGGAAGCTGTTAGTTGTCCAGATGTGTCATTGTTAACGGGTAATTTGGTATGTGTAATTTGATATGTACTTGCTAGTGAGTGCTGGACCTAACTGAAATCAGGTAGAACATGTGATGTTAAAGGCATGGCAAGAGCAGACTGAGTTAGGAGTCTTTGTGTGCTCCGGTCTGCCCTGAAACCTCTGCAAGGCCAGTCCAGTAAATTCGTCTCTGAGAGCACTTTGCTAGATATGTGGGATTATAGATGCTTAAGGCTTTGAAGATGCTTCCAGCTACAGCATGAAGATGATGTTGATACTTAGTATTTCCAATAGCAGTTGCAATATTTTATTGTAGTCGTGTCTCCTGGTTTTGGGACTACCTGTTAGGTAAATGTATTGTGTCTGTGCTGCAACAGATGTAGGGGATGTACAATAATAATAATAAAAAAAATGTGTTGGAGGGAGGAAGGAGACAAGGGATTTTACATGGTTTATACCAAGACACTTTGTATTGTTGAGGTTTCTAAAATTCCTTCCACTTTCCTTTTAATAATCTTGTACCTGAGAGTTTTTCCTCTGTGATATAAGTCATCTGACAGACAGTTCTCACTTCAAGATGGATCATTTTCTTTCCCCTTAATATCTGCTGCACTACTTGTTTGCTAAATCCAATACACTGGGTAGAGTTACTTTTCTTCCTGCCCTCCCTGCTGGACTTGTATTTTGTTCTACAGTATTTCATAGATCCTCAGTGTCTTTTGAATAGTGTTACGGTTTCTGCTCTTACTGCTTGTGCGAATGAGGAGATGAAGAGCCCTTTACCTGTCGCTTTCCAGCCTGCATGGAGGTGGTAGCTGTGGTTTTTTAAAAAAAGAAAGTTCCGGTAAAATTTTTCCAGTTGAATTTCTAACCCTCCTAAGTGTTTCTGCTTATTACTACCTTTCTGTAGTTAGAACACATTTACATCTCACTAAGCGTAGATGAATCTAATTTTCCAGTGATCTGGATACTTAGTCTTTTAAACATGTTATTAGTCACTAGCCTTCGTATCTGCCAGTTTTTTTTTCCTCTTTACTGGCTGGTGAACAGAGTTACTGCTGACTGTTTTCTGCTCAGAGTGATTAAACTACTTCATTAAAAGACAGAGACAGTGTTAAGAATTGAGAAACTTGAGAAACTGTTTTATAATTCTTACAGCTCTGTGTTTCGGTTCATGCTAGCAAAATAAGTAACGCGAAGGGAGTTTATTGCAAAGTATCTCTTTAATCATCTCAGTCTTTAAAGAGCGAGGACATCAACTGCCGTGGTTTAAAAAACTAGTGCTTATACTATAAAAGGAAAAAGTCAGAGTTGTACAGACCAGAGAATTACACTGCTTCGTTCTCGAATGCTTTTTTAAGTGACTCTGTAAGTAGTGTTCTGCACACAAGCCTGCCCTTTTTGCCCGTCTGTGTCGTGCGCCAAGGCAGGCGCGAGGTGTAAGGTGGGGGGACGGAGCTGCGGAGCGGTGGGTTGGTAGGGCGATAATGTGCCTTTGGGTATGCTGCTGGGGGGAGGGAAGCGAAGGGGCAGAGACACCACCACCAACAGAGTCTATAAGTGTTGATGTGTTTGGTTAGTACGGCTGGTCTTGAACTCAGAACTGATGGTCCTGAAGGGAACATGTATGAAAAAGCAGCTATTCTGTAAACCTTGGTGTTCGTAGATGTGGCTTGCTAGAGGGACTTCAATGAATGCCTTTAATAGATTCTGCCATTATCAGGAATCTGGATTGTTTTAAATCCAACTGCATTTTTGGAAAAAGTTATATTCTAGCTTTACTTACTGCCTTGAGTGCCTTGTATGACATGTTTAAGGTTACAAGCTTTGTTAACTTCAGTGGTAGATAACCTGGGATTTGATTGTTTGAAATCCTTTCCTAGAATCCTGACAAAACTTCTGGAGGTTTCTGATGACCCACAAGTGCTGGCTGTAGCTGCTCATGATGTGGGAGAGTATGTGCGACACTACCCCAGAGGAAAACGGTGAGAAAAATTCCAGTATGCTTTTACTCAAGAGATAAGCTAGAGTAATCTTTGGCTGATTATTACTTCTTTATATTAAGATATGGTACAATGCAACTGCAGGTTTTGCTTAAGTTCAGTTCATAAGGAAGGTATTACACATGACAAAATACAAACTGGACTCTTGACTTGTGTTACTAGTATATTTTAAGCAGTTCTTAGCAGTGAAGCGAACTTAGGTCTAGAGTACCTGGAAATAAATTTCTCAGACTAAAACAGAAGGCATGCTTCAGAAATAATTAGAATAGCTACTAAGAATTTAAGTAGCATGTTGTTGTTATCCTTGATTATGGCTAACTATTGGATTATAAATATTGAACTTAAGACTATCTCAGCAATGATTTAAGTCTTTTATTTTGTGACTTAAAACCACTGGGACAAGACTTTTCTTACAAACCATTGCAATTTCTAATGATATTGGCACAGCTTCAGTTATCACCTTCCTATTTTAATGTTTTCTTTTGCTACACAAATATATCTTTAAGCAAAAATGTTAACATTTGCTGTAAACCCGAATTCCTGTCAAAATATAAAGACGCACACTGACACCCCCCCCCCCCCACACACACTATATTTATTTGCTTTACTCTATTGTGAAAACTGGTGAGCAAAGAAACTTACTTGCTAAGTAGTCCGATCTCTGAAGAAATGAGACTACTTTAGCAGGAGGGAGTATTATGGATTTTTGCAAAAATCCATGCTTTTCAGCCACCCAAAGTGAAGAGCCTGGGACATGTATTTTAACTTCTGTAACAAAGCAGCAATCTGTTTCTGCTTCCTGGCTAGGGCTTAATTGAGAAGAGAATAGTCGTTTGAGGTTGTTGGAAACTTCATGAACGTTTCTTGCCGAGACTGCTATCAGCATTAAAAACGGTCAAGCATGACAGACTCACCTTCACGTCATATATATGCTGGAAAAATTGGTTTACTCTAAGAAGACTCATAGCCTTCATAATAGTGTAAGCAACTTGAGCTGAAGATGCTTTCAGATTATTGGAACAAATTAAGTTTATCTTCTAGGTCCACTAAGAAAGATCAGAGGTTCGGTTTGTCTTTTGTGTTTGTAGTTCCCCCCTTCCTCTCCCAGACGCTCAATCTATAAATATGTATACGTTTGATTAGTATAGCTGGTCTTGAACTCAAAACTTTATTGCTGAATAAGCACTGAGCAGTGCTGTGTATTTGCTGATCAGCTCTTATATCTTCCAAAAGAGATTTATGACCACTTGTATTTGAAGGCAAGGTATTCTCCTGTGAGGTGGACACCCGTGCTGCTGCCTGAAAGAAGGCAAAGCTGAAGGGTTAATACTGAATGCTCCTACTTGAAGCTGTCCCTTGTTTGAAAGTGTTTCATTAGACACTTGCTGTAATTGTGCACGCGTCCACTTAGGAGTGTAACACAATACATGGTCTGATATGGCCACGTGGTTGCGGGCCCAAAGCTGTTCAGTCATATGAGTGGGCAGAAAGAACCCACACCTCCCTGCCTCCACTTGGGAAAATCCATTGCTGATGGACTTTGACTCCACTCAGCAGCTGCTATACCCCACTCTCCCAGGCTGTTAAACCTCTTCTGGAGGGCTTCAGCCTTCAAAAGGAGTGGTCATAGGCAAATGAGAAGAGTACTAGATACTATTATAATCCACATTCTTACTGCAAATTCTAATACTTCAATTGTTTTCTGCATACAGAAAACTAAATAAGCCAACACTGTTTTGAAAGACAAATGAAAATGTCTCTGTTTTTTCAAAGAATGTCATTTGTAATCTAGTGCATCCTTACTAAGTAGGACTTAATTGTAGGACTAAAAGCTTAAAACACCTAAGCACAATGTGTCTGTTTCCACTTAACTATTACGGTAAGAAATGGACTGTTTTGGTATAGTTATTTACTGCTCCTGCACTTGGTTGGCATTTCACACTTGCAACATATGAGTTGCTTGAGGATGGTTGCCATTCATTGGTTTTGAAGAATAGGAGAATTCAAATGTCTTAAATATTTTTTGTCGCTTCAAGTGTTTATCCTCAGCTCTTTAGCTGGATCACCATTCAGCCTTCCAAGATTGCAGAGATTAGCTGCTTAAAAGCTAAAAGTTCTTGAGTTTAGCTGTTGGTGTACAGCAGAGTCCTGGATTTACAATTCTGGCTAACCTTTGTCCGCCAAAGGAAAGCGTTTGTTAAACCAAGTGCTATTTTTTTTGCTTGGCTGTTCTCTAGTAACGTCAACTTAAATAGCTTTGACTTGCCTTTAAGATCACACATCATGGATCAGGTTCTTAAGGCAATAGCATCATGGGCTTCTAAAGAGGCTCACTAACAAGCGTCTTCTGAGAGTCCAACAGCAAAAATCAAGTCTACCATCGGTGTTTGCTGTCACTTAAAGTAAATGCAGGTTAGACATTAGCCTCCAGTGTAACTTCCATGTGACTTGAGAGTTGCCACTGTACAAGATGAACACTTTCAATCGCCTGAACTCTGTGAACATAGATCTTACATTTTGCATATAGTAATTGAAACCTAGAGCTATTCCTCTTCTTAGCTCATGATTCAGAAACAGCTTAATTACCTCCTCTTTTCACTTTGGTCTGGTTTCATATGTGTAGTGTGCCTTATATATTAATATTTTCTGCTGCTATAACTGTCTGAACCTTTATGATCTGTCTTCATCCTCTCTTCTCTTCTTCCTGCTGTTAACAGGTCATGATAATATCTGACTCTTCTGCTTCCAGTAACTTGTCTGAATTCTGAACACTTTCTGTCCCCACTCTTAATATGGGGAATAGTCCCAGCAGTAGATGTGCATAGATTAATTGAGCCCGGTGGTACAGTTACACTGTTGTGTAAAACCAGAAGTTAGAGAGAAGGAAATCCATAGGAAAAAATAACTAAAAACACAAGTATTTTGAGCGGATTTGGAAGCTGAAAGAAAAGGATTTACTGTGAACCTTTGTCATAGGTGCTTACCTTTCAGTCCAAAACAATCATTTGGGAAGTGATTTGTAAAAGTAGGAAGTGTTATGGAATATGATAACACTACTCCTTAACTATATTCTCAGCCATAATTTTACACTGATATACTATCATCTGAAATACTGTATTTTCATTTGTGATACAGGATTTTAACTTTCATTTTGATTTATGCACACTTCTTGTAAAAGGAAGCTTTTTGAGTTTCATGTCTCTTGTTACCTCCTTCTGCTTCCTCAAAAATCAGTGTTTGTCTTCCCTGTAATGAGAAAAAGGTTTGTGATTGTATTTCATAGTCTTGTTTTTGTCTTGTGCTGGTGGTTTTATCTTTTCCTCTCAAGGAAAATATGAGGAAGCCTCAGGCAGAAACAAAGAAAATCTTTTATGTCGGTAATGATGTTTAGAATTCTTGTTAGAGTTTTCTGGCTTAAAACAAATGAACCTTTTTGTATGCATTCCTTTTGTATGAAGCATCTGTATATGTTGCAATACTATTTATCCTGGAGACCACAGAAAATAGTTTTTCTACTTTAGGCAGAGTTATAAATGCAATGGAAATTTCTATGTTTCATCGTCACATTACATCTTATCCTGTTGTGCAGTTTACAGAAAATTGACATTTTGTGCAGCAGTAATGCATTCATTTACCTTAAAAAGAACAGTAATAACAGACTGCTTGTGTAAGCTTAGAATAGCGTCAGGTTAAGACTGAATGATGCAAGTGATAGCCTCTTCATAGGATATTATGTTTAAGTACTCTGTGATGTGAGAGAGCGCTGTTTTTTTAAGTTAACCAGAGTGAGTAATCAGTTTATGTATTTTTTGCACCAAATTATGTTACAACAAACCAAAGTACTGCATGTAAAGAGTCATCTGGATGGTGATGCTTTTTCAGGTTTCAGAGTGGTGTCTTCTAATTTATTTTTTTTTTTTTTTTTTTTTTTTTAAGAATTTTGCATTCATAATGTATGTGTGATTTGTCAGTATTTCATACAGGATTTGGTATAGAAAGTAAAAAGTTGTGGCTGACTGCTGTGAAGTCTGTAGGGAAGGTTGCAGCTGAAACATCCCATTTTGTTGGAGATGTAACTATTAGCAGCCAGTTCTGCATCCTGTGAAGGAACAACTGTGGCTCTAGTATGATTTGAACAGTGAAAAGCATTATGAGGAATATCAGGTGGCCTGTTCAATAGATGTCGTCATGATTCCATGCATTTTTTCTAGATTCCAGGAAATGTTTGTTATGAGCTAAAATGTCATCCGTATCTTCTGAATGCCAGTCTTTGTCAGATGCTAGGAAAGTAACTGAAGCCAGGTTTGTTGACAAGTGCCTTGAGGAAGTTATTCAGTCTTTTTATGTATTGATGTACCTGGCACAGTAGGCAGTGTTTGGGTCAGATTAGGGCTTTACTCTTGCAAAGAATGGGGGGATCTGGATACCATTAATTTATGGAAGACACTGCCCATTCTTAAATAATGATTGATAGTGCTATACCATGCCAAACCCCTCTCAAGCCAGCTCCAAAACAAAATTTTACATATATATAAAGCTGAGTAAAGTAAATGAACAATCTTGAAGAGGCTTCCCTAACACTCCCTCCTTCCTTCCTTCCTTCCTTCCCTCCCTCCCTCATCCACTTTCTAGTAGGGGACTACAGTAGATTTGTGTAAAGTCTATAGTATATGCTGTATAGCATTATACTGTACTAGAGAGAGATGTTGCAGGGTTGTTGCTTAATTGTAAAATAACGTTAGCTAGAAAATGCTTAAAGCTCAAGCCCGTTCCTGGGTACAATTTGGTATGTTGCAGGGGAAAACAACTAGCAGTAAATATGTGAAATGAAAAGTGACAGCACAGACCACTGTCCTACTGTATGTTTGTATGCTGGAGTGGGAATGTGTTGTCTGTTGGTACGTGCTTCTGCATGGGAATGACTGCAGTACCAGTGATAAGTCTGTTTGTTGCCAAATTTTCAAAAATGTTCCCTGTTCATTTTTCTTCATACTGTTTAGGGTTCAGTATCTTGAACCAGTCAGTCTTAGAAATCTGCAATAGTTGATATATTCCGGAAAACCTGCTGAGTACTTGGGTTTGGATTGGGAATCCAATTTTGGAATTAAAAACCAGCCCTGAAAAAGGTTTTCCTCTGAATTGGGAGGCTGGTAGCTTTGGGGTTTTGGTTAGTGACTTTTTGCATCTTTCTTGGGTGTTCCAGTTTCTGCCATTTGCTGGAGCTTCTTTCTGGCCACCGTTAAGAGGTATCTGTTTTTAAGGAAGAAGAAACTCTGAATAATTTCAGTAGGTAGTATGAAAGCCTTGCATTTGTAACATATGAAAAAGGATTAATTTCTCCCCTGCTCTCTTTCAGAGTGATTGAACAACTTGGTGGCAAACAGCTAGTGATGAACCATATGCATCATGAAGACCAACAAGTTCGTTATAATGCACTACTGGCTGTGCAGAAGCTGATGGTTCACAACTGGTATGTGAAGCTTATTTTTCACTGTTCGTAGTACACGTTAGATATCAGGCTATAGAGAGAAAGACAGATTTCTTTAAGGGAAAAAAAAGAAAATCAACATTATAATGTGGTAAGACTGCAGTTCTTTAAGAAATGATAGAGCAACATGATTCTGATGTGTAAGACCTCAGCTACTTTTTCTGTATGCTTTTGTTCCAGTTGGATTCAGTAGCTTGACGTTACAGGACTGAGTGGAATGCGAATAGTTCAGTTCGCTCAAACAATATAGTTTTAAATATTGCACAGTTCAAGTAAGTTGTATGAGCTGTAATTCAGGCCTGCAAAACTACGCAGTCTTCAAAATGTTAAAGATGTATTTAAGTTTCTTAGAAAATTTACTTAATCTCGCCTGAAGGAATCAGTAGTTTGACATGGTTGTGTTACAGGAGTTGACAGTTGAAATGTTTAATTGGCAATAATTTTGCCGGTTGGCCGTGCTTCTGCACTGTTTTTCTTACTGCTCTAATGCTTGCCCCTACTGTACACTGATATCTTTATGCTACCATTTTAAGGGATATAACTACAATTTTTCTTTCTGTGAAGCTGTTGGGCGAGTTGGCTAGATTAAGGTGAAAATCACTGACAGGTATCTCTCTCATCGGCCAATGAGAGCTAGCATTTGAAAGGAGGTTTTTCCTTTCATTGTTTGTTAACTAGTTCTCTAATAAAGCTCCAAAAATTCTGAAGTGCTGCCTTTCCAGCTGAGAACTGGACCTTTATAGATGAAGCATTGAAGGCTTACCGTTATGAAACGCTTCAGTGGGTGTTTTTCTAGGGGAAAGAGGTTTGTCAACCGCATTGACAGGTGTTTGGGTGACCTACATATTGTAGAAGACAGGCTATCAAGGGTCACGAAAACCTTCTGATCCATTTCCCTGCTTCAGTGAAACAGTGAAACATTGCTGTTTTCCCTCTTTCCTTTTGAAGTACATGAATTTTAACTCTCATGCCTGTTATACACTGTAATCCTGCCTCCTCCCTTTCTATCATACTATGTAAGCCTTCTATTAGTAGAGAAGAGCTTAAACATTTAAATAATCTACTTCAGCAAATCCAGAGTGAGCATTCTTTACCTGTAAGGATGACTTTGGAAAAGAACATTGAATTGCTGAGCGTGTGGAGGTGGAGTCTAAATGTGTGGTCTTGTACAACCTCATTTTGGGGCAGTGTTCTATATCGCACTCTACCCTGCTTCTGAGTTTGGTGATATGCTTCTTTCCTCACTTTGTGCTGTTCTGGTATGTTTAAAACACGCTGAGTATTACAAATTGGCTGCAGCTAAATAGAGATTACAGTGTGAAAGGCTTAGTTATTGAAATTCGTCTTCTGCAGGGTTATGGAGTGGGTCTTATTTCATGTGTGTTCTGATGCCTTGCAAATCTAGTAATAAAAATCTAAATCTTTGGGCCTTCTGCAGCACAAACCTCATTAGCAGTAAGAGTTTTCCTGGATGTCTAACCTGGCTTTTCTCATCTTAATCTTCAGTGCAATATTAAGTATACCAAACCTGATCTTCTGGATTTTTCTCCAGTCTTTTTATGGGGTAAACATTTCTGACTTTTACTTTTCACGGTTTGTGAACATTTAGACTCGAGGATGAGAGAAATATTACAATTAAATCTGGCTTCAGATCTGCAGCTCTGTAAATAAAAGGGATCTGTTTAAGTTAGTGCTATCTTTAGAGTCATATTGCCTCTCTGCAGGGGATATGGTTGTTGCTTAATACTTACTGGAGCAAGTCTCTGGGAACCATTGCCTTTGACTCTTGATCACCAAAGAAGTGTGCGCTTTGGGAGTGGGGTCAGACAGCTTGGGCCAAGGAAATCACACCTGGTTTGTATTTCAGAAGCTAAATCTGCAGTTGTATAGATCATGCTTTTGATGTCTATCAGTAGCCCTTCTGTTTCGTAGCTTGTGTGAGGAGAAGCAGCAGCAGGGTTCCTGGTCAGCTCCATAGTGCAATGCGAGTTGCCTACTTGTTTAGCTTAGTTTTGTGATAATATGGATTACTCAGCAACTTCTTTAAGGTTTTGCTCCTCTTGCTCTTCTGAGGTGGGGAAACAATAAGCGTTTTTGCCCTTGCTTCCATATATTTTAGAATTCACTTGAGGCAATCAATTTTTTTCCTTCAGTTTAATTGATATACCACAGCTCTGTATTACCATCTGTGGTATGTGCATGACTGAGCGAGCGTGGCCCTTCCTAGATCTGGACGCCGAGAAGAATCACAGAGTAAAGGCTTGCTCTGCCAGGGTGAAGCTTGGTGTTACGTGTTGTACCTGATCAGAGGAGTAAGGAAAAACTTCTGGTACTTAGCCAAATGTCCTACCAAATTACTTATGTATTAAGAAGGGGGAAAAAAGGAATGAGGGAGTGTCATGGAGCAACTGAAGTGGCATCCTGCTTTAAACACAGCTGTATCATTATACTGATAATAACTCAACTTGGAGACAATAATTAAATTCAAAGTAATTTGAATAGCTCATTACAGGCTGCTCAACTGTCTTTTCCTTAGGGGATTTTAAGTCAAGGATAAATGGGGGGAAATCAAACTGTCATGCATTCTGTTTAATGGCAAAACTAGTTTGGCAAAGGCAGTAGCTGCTGTCAGTTTTTCTGATAAGGTAAGTTCAGGTGAAATGTTTCTGTTATATTTGCATGTCAAATGATCATGCATTTGATGAAGCAGGTATGGAAGGTATCATTTTAGCATCACTTAATGTCTTTAAATGGTGACTCATCTCGTGCTTTAATCTAATATGAACTATCTTTGTGTTAGTCCTGGCACCTCGTGCTGAAGATAAAATCCTGTTATTGGTAAATGGGGAGTTTGGCATAGAAATGATGATGCAGAACTGTCCTGTTCAATTTGTGTCTTAGCTATCTACTAGAAGCATCTTACTCCATTTCTTTGCTGGTGTTCAGAGGTAATACCCAACTTCTCCATTTTAGTATTAGGATTGGGTGTCCAGTTAGTGTTAGGGTTTGGGAACGTAACATTGGTGGTTGGAGCAATGTTCTTATGTTACAAATCTGAAAAGCATCAAATCATTAGATTCTAGAAGGAAAGCACCTGTGGGGTGTCTTTAAAATTAAGTATGTATGTTAAAGATGTGGCAGGTGCCTTTCATGTGCTTCATGGCATACAATTTTACTGTACCTCAGGGATGTAAGTCTAGTTATGACTCAAAAGTACCTAAAGTTAGAAGCCTAAGTTTTGCCTTTGAACAAAGAGAGGCAGGTAGTTTTTCAGGGCAGTGCAGAGCAACTTCTGTGTCTGAAGTTAACTGATGTGAATAATTCTCTCTTTAAGATATGTGAACCTATAAGCTAGTGGCTTCATTCTAAAGGTGCTAATTACAGCCTCCTGTTACATGACTAAAATAAGAGCTAGATGAAGAGCTAGGTGAATAACATTCTAGATATTATACATTTAAAGTGTAATTTATTTATTACCTTACTGGTCATCTGTAACATAGTGCATTAGTTTGCAGTCTCGATGCTTCTCCTGTAGTCAGGTAGGCCCAGGGGTGCGTATCCATGTCCTGTTCAGGGAGTCAGGCACGCAGCTCTGCTCTCTTCTCTTTGCCAGCAGCGGTGCTGTTGGGTCAAGAGTCAGAGGGAGCAGAAGGTCAGAAAGAAGTGGGAATTACTGCAACATTTGGTCTACACTTTGGTGTGTGGGACTGTGAAAGTACTATCTGACCTGTGCAGCTAGCATATGATATGCTAGGTTGTGGGTGGTAGCTCTGCAGAGGGGAAGGTGGAGGGCTGACAAACTGTGTCAACAAGGGTGCAGTTATTATGACAACAGAGTAACTGTGGCTTACCCGATACATTACCAGTTAGCTTGCAGCATTCAGGGCTAGATCATGTGTGCTTTTTTGCTCATACAAATGTACATGGAACTAATGTTTTTCAAATATCAAATATCCTACTGAGTTTGCATTTCATTTTTTCAAATAAATGGTTCATTTTCATGGTGTGCCAAATAATAGGAAAAAGCCTATCACCAAAGAAGGGATTTTCTGACTGTTTCACTTCTGATTAGTGTAACTTAAAGCTTTGATATCCTGATACAGATCATGTCTAATTGAATTTTAAAACCAATTCTTATCAGCCATTCTGAATTATTCTGTGCAGACTTAAAGCTCTTAAATGTTGAAAGCTTTTTGTTTACTGTTCATTGTGGCAAGTATATCTTCTGTTAAATATAAAGCCACCTGCAAATTAACTGGCATGATTTAGTGAGGTTGATTCTTTTAAGTCACAGAATGACTCTGGGTAGATGTTAGCTTGTCACGCATCCCTTAAGTGAAAAGGGGATTAAGTGAAGGAGTTACACCTTGTTGTCTTAATAGGAAAGCATATTGTTGAAATGAATTTCTTTCTTTTTTTTTTTTAATTAGGGAAGAATCTAAGTGTTTCAGGAATAGCCTTGTAATAGATGTTCATTGATCTGCCATTTCTGTATAGCCTATACGTAAAGGTGGGAAAGCTGGAAGTTTAGAATGTTTCTGCTGAAGGATGGACAATGCCTTAGTGAAGGGAAACTGCTGAGCGACAGTGAGGTTCTTGCAGTGTCTCTTGAAATGCTGAATACAGTCTGAAGGCGTGTTGCATGTTGATTTTACATTTCTCATCGTAAGGAGGGATATAATTCGTGCTATGAATAATGTTTTGAGTAATCAGGTGTTAATCTCTTTAGATTGTCTATTAATATTATTGGATTTGGTTGCAGACAGACTGTTTTAAACAACTAACTTTCACTTAAATTTTATGTTCCCTCTACTCAAGCGTTGAAGCTATTTAGTTTCATACTGTGTACATCAGATGATGTTAAGCATCTCTTTGCTGTGAGTAATTAAGATGAAAAACGTCCCAAGTCCCAAGCACTGTTTATCAGAAGTTTGCTTTTATTCTGCCTGTTTCTGGTGAGTGGAATCTCTGTTACTTAAGTT